CAAAATACTTCGGATCCGTTGGCCAGACACTAACAGCAGCAACCTTCTGTGGAAGAGAATAAACCAAATCCCGGAAGAGGAAGAAATTAGGAAGAAGCGCTGAAAGTGGATAGAACACACATTGAGGAAAGCACACAAATGCATCACAAGGCAAGTCCTCACTTGGAATCCTCAAGACCAAAGGAGAAGTAGAAGGCCAGAGAACATATTACGTAGAGAAATTGAGACGGGCGTGAGAACAATGAACAATAATCGGATAAAGTTACAAATGAAGACCCGGGTCAGAATTGGTTGAAAAATTCTGGTCAGCGACCTTTGCTCCATCGAGAGTAACAAAATAAGTAAACAAGTAAGCTAAATCTTCAACTGTAGCCGAACCGCACGCATCAATCTGATACATAGGACAATTGTTCGTTTTAAAACAGCGATAATAATCCCTGTAATTCGAATCTTAATAATAATAAGTTCGGTGATTCTATTAATCACATATGATCTTTTTATATGACTTCGAGTAACTCACTTTACACTGAAAATCGATTGTATCTGTCTAGTGGTTCGTTTCATGATGTTTTGCTGACAATGCTGATATCCCACCTAAAATCTCAATACTATAATCGAAACTACTGAAGAATTATTTCAAAGATCACTGGTCATGAACTTTCTACTGTGAGATGTTACATTCGGCTGATGAGATATGATAAATCTTCAGTTGTATCCTGTGAATTCCTCGTTACTGATTGTGAACCATATATAATATTTAGGATTCATTTTGGAGTTGTGTGCAAATCTTGAGTGCTGTTAGAGGTATGAGGGCGGTTATCACTTCACGGTTGCCCACACCGTGGAAGGGTTCTGCTGGAGGTACCTGAAAAGGAAATTGGATTAGAGGTGGTCATAGTGACCTGAGAGCGTGACCTCAGTGCCCAAGGGACAGCTGCTTTAGGTCGGTCACACACCACCTTTTTATGAGTAATTTTTGTGTTAGCTCCGTACTTGTTGAGACCTTACCGCCGGAGACGGATATCCATGGGATAAGGCGAGGTGTGCATTTTTAGGGTCGACCTTTTCTAACCCCTCCCCTCCTTTTGGAAAGGCAGCATCGCTGTTATGCTAGTTGTCTGAAGGAAACACCTTACTGCTGTCACACCTCTGTACAGTCAGCAGTACGACTTCGCCTTCGGACCTTGGTTTTGTTGCTTTTAGTCTTACCGCTCTTCAACCGACCTGTCTGGCATGGTAGGACCTTGAGGAACGGTTGTTCCAGCCAGCATAGCTCAGTTGCTTCATCACGATAGGCAAGCCCGACCACCACGTCAAGGTAGCAACAACGGTCAGGACCGATGCATATACGTGCCTGGTCCTACGTTACAACTGACTGACTGACTGACTGTGTGCAAATCTCCACACTTCGATTCTACTCAACACATTGTCAGATATTTCATCAGATTGTATACACTTTCTTGACATACAATTAATGCATGACCATTGGTAATTCATTTGGGGATATTTCGGAATTGTTTGGGAAAGCAAAAGGAAAGTAAACCTATGGAATATAGGTGCTAACGTTGTTACAACTTTGTTCTAAGCAGCTGAAACTTCGAAAACTACCACCATCTACAAAAGTGTACAAATATAAACAAACATCTGTCTACACACGATACTTCAGATCTACTAGGTAAAGACTGTTAGCAGATATCTACCGCGGTAAAGTACTAGCTAACTATCACGTAGAGAGTTCAATTATCTTGCATACAATTCACGTAATAACGGTCATAATGGCAGCCCTAGTTCAGAAATCGTAAGGCAGGTCATTCATCACGTAGATCCGGGATCTGGGTTATGGGCAGCATTTGATAAAGTCTAGAAAGGAAGGATCAGTAAAAGTTACTTCAAGATCCCTTCTTGCAGCTTATGCATCATGAGAAGTGACAGGCGTAAGCAAATAAGTAAGTCAATAAGTATTTATGATAAGTTTAGTGAACACATTTCTGGATGTCACATCTGTTGTGTAACTCATGTTAAACTCTCTGTAGTAATATGCTCTAACACATTTCACTTTATAGCCAATAAGTTGTTTATTCATTTTCACAGTTTATATTGGAGTAGTCATTCATATGGTCTGACGGAATAAGTGTTTTGCTCAGAATAAATCTCTTAAACATTGATCAATCTCAGTGTGGTATATTGTCTATCAGCTGTTCTGAGCTTCAGAAATCGCCTTCCTTCCGTAAGTTGGGGAAGGATAGAAAACTTGCACATATTAGTTTGTTTCTTACGTCTTGTAAATTCATTCAGTGTACTTGTTAATTCGGTCAGTTTTAGTGTTCAGCTTATCTCGCTTTGTGTGTATCACACTATATTACTTGCTAATATTAAGTAGATTGGATCAATTTTAAGCATGTAGCCAACTCTGAATCTACTCATTGTGATGTGTGCTATTTTTATGTATTTATATGAGTCTATTACATTTGAAACACTTATTAGTGCATCATAATTGACTCATATTCCGAAATACAACGGTGAGAGAAAGAAATTCAGTATCATTGTTCTCATAACGATTCACTGTGATTTGCACACGGTCAACATAAAAGTATTCTCGTGAATTCTGTTTGTGTCAGGGTATTTAGTTATTTTATTCTCAATGTATCTTACGTGTATTTGTTATTTCACATTTATATTGTACTCAGTTGATAAGACTCTGTAATTGTTATGCTCCGATAAGAATAATGAGTGGTAATTTTTGGGTTTCATTTGTGTACCAATACTATACGTATAATTGTTATGTAACTAAACTACTCATATTCTTAGTCCTCTTATTATCAGCTTTATTGTGACTTATGAACTGTTATTATACGATTTTCCATTCTTGAAACATTCCCTGTCTATTAATTACTACCTCCCTCACTCACAGCCACTTTTGGCCAAATCTTGTACAAGTGTTATTTTCTATTTTATGATAGGTTGTGGTCTGTTTGATTGGTATATAAACCTAGTATGTTTGAAATACATGATTCATATCGCAAGGGCTGGGATTGGTGTCCTGAACTTAGTTGGTTGGGCTAGATAGAAGCAAAACCAGTCAGGACTTTAGGCTGCTCGTACGGGTTTTACGCGACATTCATTCGATCGATAAGTCACTGCTCTTTAATCTGCGATCACAAGTTATAACAAATGGCGACGGGGATGGGAATTTCATTGACTTATTAATGAGTGAGCTTGTTTGTTTATGAAATCTTCTTGATTCCTTCTAACAAATCTTCCCCAAAATGAATTTCATTAAAGGAACCTGGGGATCAAAAGTCATCAGTCGTTTGTGATTGTTGTACGAACTTATGATAACGAATTCCAAATACAATACACTCGTTTGTTCTCATCTAATTCTGTTTGACTTAAATTTCACTGTTTTGGAAATTACTTGTTAGTACAGTAATGTTAGTAATTCTAATTATTAATAACACTACAAATGTTATCGCAGTTGTCGTTAGAGAATCCCCCAGTAACCTATCAGCCTATTTGTAAGGATTTCTAGATATTTTGTATGTGGTTCTCACATTGATTATTAAGTTATCAATATTTAGTAGACATATCTGTAAAACTGTGATTTGGTTAGTTATCAGTACTACCACGATAACAGATCTAATCACAAAAGTGTAGATTTGTCATGATATAACTACCTGTTCTATAAGATTTTAAGTAAAAGTCCCATCATTTTCTACACTGAGTCGTCCTATCTAGATCATCATCAATATGATGTATTGTGCTTCTGAAAAACACATTTAGTATGGACATAGAACAATACATTTATTGTGAACAAAGGAGATACGTTACACAAGAATGACATACCATACTGGTTGAACCTATGTTCCCACGTTCACCATTACCAATGCCCTGCATGTGTTATATGATGAATGTCAATCACCTCAGAATAATTTTTCAGCTTCAATCATTGCGTGGGTAGTAACTAATGCTACTGCATATTCAGTGTGCCACAAGTGGCTTGTTTTTGTTTAACTACGAGTAATTCCTGGAGTTGTATACAAAGAAGCATCCTTTCTATCACTATATATACACCCGTTTGGATACTCTAGACAATACATGAATTAAGTTTGTAAAGTGAACTTCTCATGATGTCGTTATTCACAGAGCCGCTTAAGAAACAATCTACTGGCTTACGATTTCGATTGCACGCATCGTGTGATGTTTTATCTCTAGTTAAGTTAACAATAAAATTGCTCAAACAAAAGCATTTGTAGGGATTCGATTATTATCTGTATGGTATTCTTCCATGGTTGCTATCTACAACGATACCGTTGACAGTGAGTACTGAACAAACTTTCGATTGTCGTGTAGGACACAGAACCATGCATATACAAATATGTCAGATGCTGCATTGCGTACTTCAAATTTTACATCCATGCCATATTGATTAGCAATGCATGGTGTAATGACCCTCAAACGTCAGTTGTGATGATTGTCTCAAGAACGGTTTTTATTACTGGAATAAATCATGCCGTTGTCAAATCGAAACCTAAGCAGCCTGTGGAAGATTTTGTCACATCGTCAGACTTTACGTAATTATGTAACAGTGACATTAAAATGAATGAATGAAACCAAATTAGATCATTTTAGCGGGATAAGAATAACCGGCGTCATTGTGTTAGTTGGTCGTCAGGTATCTTTGTATTGTTTTTATATGTTCAACAACGAACTGATAAATGGGTATGCCAACACTTTTCAAAATATGATCTCATCAGTCACCTTTGAGGTTAACAACATGGTGGAATAGATGTTCATTTTTTAATCGAGAAACAAACTCTGGATCATTGATGCAGGAGTAATCCGGTGCAAAATTCAAATCGCACTTCACAGTTTTGGTGAACCTTATTAAGACTCAGTGAAGATAGATAACAGTATGATAACAACATAATAGGTAGCAAATCACATACTTATCAGAAGTTTATTTTGCAGCAAAATGTAAAAGTGACATTTAACTCAATATCTCACCAATGTTCGAATTTAGCATCACAAAATTCTGGATAAATTTGCTTCAACTGCTCAGTTGATGCATTTGTCCCGATTAATTCCATCACTTCTTTCAGCTGATCGCGAGTGTTAACATGAGGATAATTTGTTCCATCTGGTATATTAACATTTAAAAATTCACATAGTGGTTCCCAACCATCTCCGAGCTTATGGATCAGGAGACGTTCAGATGGTACAGTTTGTTGCACCATTTCATTATATTTATCACAGCATTCAAGTAGAACTTCATCATTATCAATGTCCAGATCATCTTCCTGAAATGCGTATTTCAGTGAATCCACGATCATTTTGTTTGTCTCTTCACCAAAATGCAATGTCTGCTTCGCTTTGTCTAGTCTTTGACTGTATGGATCGTTTGACTTTGGCAATACTGACTGTCGTACACTAGATAACCAATCATTTTTATCACGTATGGTCAATATGACCTGAAAAAAGACAAGATATCAATCTAAAAGTCACAAGCAGCGATTGTGTAATTTGGTGAGTATACAGATATATATATATATATATATATATATATATATATATATAAACATTGACAAATCAAGTGTATTTACGTGAGAAGAGGTAAGACTATGTTATCTCACGTCACTGATATTTAGTATAACACGTGGTCAGTCTCTGTTGCTACGTATACATTCTATAAAGATCTCGTTGACAGAGAATTTTGTTAAAAATGACAAGTAAGACTGATCATCTGCAGTAATCAATATCGAGTGTGGTAGAATCAAAACGCTTACTAATTACTTCATACCCGTTAAACAAGTAATCGAAACTCTGCAGTTTAGTGACAACTTTCTATAACTACACAATAACATAAAAACAATGATCTACCGTTTGTATATTACGTTAATAGTCGAACGTAGGAGATTTCGATCACATAATAATCTGATTCAATACAAATCACTGAACTAACAGTTCGATAACTATTCGAATACAAAGAAGATGTCAATCAATCTCTCAAATATCAAGCGAGTGCCCAAATGTTATGGTTTTTTAACGTACAATTTAGCAACTGATGTGTGATGAGTACTGGTGATTTGTGTGAGGAAACACAAGCAAATGCACAAACTTGTGTGACGGCCAAATCCATTTCATTCAGTTTATGATTATGTCATATTGGAAGGCTGTTAGTCGTGGATAAGTTGGTTACATTGGAATGGAATATTCATATGATGAAACGCCCTTGCTTGTAACTAGGTCATCAACTATTGGAGTATCAATCACTTCTCAAGTATCGTAACACTCAACAAAATACCACTGATACTACCTTCGCATTCGGATATATACTCATCAGCTCTTTGTAGAATACACACGCTGGAACATCGCTCACAGCTACATAACCATTCAATAGTTCACTCAAGCCTCTGTGTATTATTGTTTCATCCGGTGTCGCGTCGAGAACTTCATCCAGCAGTGTCTGCCACTTGTTAACATCACAACGCTTCTTAGTCACAATTTCAATCATATGATAACATGGTTGCGAGTAAATTATTTCCAGTGCTTCTTTTAAACTCTTCGTTCCTGTCCTTGGCAAACCAGCTCCAATAACCACCAATGAAGTTGAATTTTCTGACATAATGTCAGCCACAAAATGTGTATATTACACGAAACTGATGATAGCTGATATTTATATGTAATCAGAACACTGATGGTCACTGAGGACAGATTAAATATCTAAAACGTGTTATCACAATGTGAAAACATTTTGAAAGAGGATTATCTGATATACATGTAATTCCAGTTATGTGATCACCATGTATAAATGGATAGTGGTCAGTACTGGAGATTAGTAAGATGAATATGCAGCAATTGTACTTTAGTGACCTACTAATAAACATTATTTAAATTTTTACTGTAGACGTAAATTAAAGCACTCTGTTCAACCAAGATAAATTATCATTATCATGTCAAGGTGTTGAGTACTTTCCAATCTACCGTTCAGTCAATTACCATTTTAAACCATAAAGACGTCTTAAGTATTTTGATGTTTAGTGATGGTACATTTACTGAGGTGTTTTAATTTCAGCCACTAGTTTTCATGTCTAAAACATAATCCATCTACGTCGATTTAGACAAATGAGTATTATAACTTGTCCGCTAGTTAATTAAGCTTCTTAAAATCAAGTTAACTTATCTTTACTTCGTTACTGAATTAAAAATAATGAGGGTTATCGATCTGAACTTATAATTTTATGTATATACAATTCTCTCTGGCTTGTCAAGTCAATTTCATCTTGATAAGTGATTAGATGTAGTTACCCGGAGACATTGATCCACGATTTTATAATGTTCAGCCACCAAGAACAAACGAAGTGATAACGAATCGGTAACCATTCATGATCGTGTTTGTACAGTAGGTCAGTTAAATCCCAAATTACTCAGCGACTTCGGATTCAACTGCAAAGCTTCAAAATGAAGCTTTGAATCTAACAGGGAGAATCAGTATCCTCAGGTCCTTTGTTGTTGTTCATAAGCGTGCTTAAATCCTAAATACATTAGGGCTTCCAGTCGACTGCCATCAAACACTTAACATCACCACTCAACAACATGGTGCACCCTATATCAAGTCATTCAAACTGGCAATCGAACTGCGAATTCATCGGTAAAGTTTTAACTGCACTAAACGACTCGAAAAACACAAAATTCGTGACCATATGTTGTGTCGATTGGTATTATGCAAATGGCTAGGGAATCCGTTACCGAAACGTTTTCATCTTTTTCTATGTATGCCCTCATATCTGTTCTTTGAGTGCATCTATATGATATGACGTGATGTTTATTCAATATCGCTTCCGTTTTTATATCAGTATAATGATCACTCAGTGTAATTTTTTTGTTTCAACATATATCTGCATCATATCAGTGTTATATTCATTCGACGCACAAAATTCGTTGAATTGAACTATGTTCATCATAACATGCACGATCTGAGTTTATTGACTATCATGACATTCTTAGTAAAATCTGAGAACCAAACAGAAAATACTTCATTTGCAAAGTGTCGATCGATTGTATCACAGTTAATTGTTCCTTCGTCTTTACACCAATCACTTTCTTTTCTCATCCTCATTTCATCGAGCTTAATAACATTACACCACCGTACATTTCACATCCGGTTGATGATACATACTACTTTAATCACATACCACAATACGTTTTTACATAGACTACCAATAACTCTTTTTCGTCACATTCTATTTATGATTGTGATTTAGAAAGATCATGCATCATGAAAGTCTCTGTTTATAACACAATTTATTCATCTATAATCTGTCACATCGTCATGAAAAATGGGTTTCATATGATTATATTCTTATTGTTTATTCAAATCAATGAAATGTTGGGTTGGTTTTGAAATGACTAATTTTATGTCATTTGCGAACAATTACAAGAAAGCAGGATACAATCATTTAGTATTCATATGACTACTCATGAATGATTAACAATTTTTACTTATTTGACAACTAGTACATTTGAGTAATGATGATAATTAAAATTTTCAAGTATTAACCAGAAATCCATCTGTCCCGTGTCATATAAATTATGGTTTAAACTTTATGATCGTTCGGAAAGGTGATCAGAAAAGTCGTTGATCCGATTATTAGTCGACAATTTGGTTTCTCAGCAAAAGCGATGAATATCAAATATGTTGTCAACAATAATCAATGCAAGTCAGACTAAAAGTCAAGTACTAGGCGGTCTGCTTGAATATCTGGGCTACCTGTTCCTACTATCTGGATATTTCAACAAGTTATATGTTTTCTTGTTTGTTTTAACACGTCATTATGCCTATTAGTCTCATAACCTATTCAAATGGGTTTGTGAAAAGTCTACGACATTTCGTTGTACAAGTTACAAAAGTGCTTAATCAGAGACATCATGGTTACTGGCAGTATGCATCGAAAATGATACACATTTATCAGCTGTTGATTCCTGAACCGCTAATATTTGACTGGCGACCACTCAATATTTATCGCAAGAACTGATCAAGAAATAAGAAGGAGCAACTTGTTGAAATACTTTGTGCTGAGAATTCTATGTTGTACCAAAAATATAATATTGAATAAAGACACTGATAATAATAATAATAATAATAATAATGATATATCACAGACTGAGATTATGTAAAAGACCAGCTTCACTCAGCTTTATTACATCTTGCATGTACACTGGCCAATTTAGAGTGCAAAGGGGAAGGATGGTCACAGAATTCAATAAATTACATTAAACAATTCAATATTCTTATCTGTTGTTTGCTTTATTTAATTCAAGTTTTTCCTACCCACTATAAATGTCTGGTGCGTAGGCAAAACGTAATACTAGAAACATAGTCAACACATTTAATTGTTAGTTCAACTACAAACCAGAATAGCGTGAACATCTGTAGAATTACGGTCTACCACGTTATTGGTGCTACCTTAATAATAGACTTAATCCTAAATTTGCAGATTCGTCATGTTGTTACTGCCTAATCTATAAGGTCTTACGTGGAAGTCACATCATTCTCTACACTGACTCGTCGTATCGTAACAACTATCAATATATGATGGAGAACAAATTCAGGCTAGAGATAAAATAATATATTTAATATGAATAAAAGCAAGTTGTACAGAGCGACCACATATACAAGGATGAGCCATGCTACCCGATTAATTCGAGTTGATTGAATTCATTCTTCCCGCCTTCTCCACCGTAAATGTTGTATATCCAATTTGCTAGTTATCTCGTGTTCAACTTTGAGGAATGTGTGGTTAAGATCCAATGCCACTACACGTTTGCTCTGTATTATCACTGTTCAATTTTATATTTGATATATGTTTTGTAATGGTGTAATTTTTAAGTTGACAAGGCCAACTTAGCTTTCTTGATCCACATTAAATATTCAACAGCTACTAACTTATCGAGGTTAATGACAGTAATTTATAATCCTGCAAAGAAAGACAATGATTTATTCATTCTGATTTATTCTGAGTTCTGTACATCTTTTCCATCAGTCAGGGGATGAAATTTTGTATAATTCGTTGAGTATATTGATGCAAATAAATGATGAGTTAAAACACACAAATTATCTTTATTGATCATTAGACGAAATTCCTTACTTACTTACTCACTTACTTACTTACGCCTGTTACTCCTCATAGAGAAGTATATGTAGTTCATCAAGACTCTCCTTTAAATCCTACCCCGAGAAATCCTTTCCAAATCTTTCCAGTTCCTACTTATTCTCGTATTGTCTTCTTTCAAACCCCAACGTAGTGTGTTCTTTGACGTCCCTTCAGGGTTCCAAATAAGGGCTTAACCCTTGATGCAGTTTGGTCATTTCATTAGTGTATGTCCTATATACTTCCAAAAAGGCTTCTTATTTCCTCTTCATTTTGGAGCTGGTTTGTCCTCTATTAGAGTAGGCTGTTGCTGATGGTATCCGACCAACGGATATTGAGTATCATGCGTAGATAATTGTTTTTAAATACTTTTATTTCTTTGATAATAGTTTTTTAGTTCTCCAAGTTTCAGATTCCTATAGTAGAACTGCATTGACGCTTTAATTGAGGATTGTGATTTTTATATTGGTTGACAGACAGTTGTTTTGAGTTGCACATGTTCTTCAACGGTAGGAATGATGTCCTTGCTTTGCGTCTGCATTAGACACTCCTTGTCCATTGATGATGCTTCGCAGGTACGTGAAAGACTCCACCTCTTCCCGAGCATCTCCATCAAGAAGAATTGGGTTGGTTTTCTCCGTGCTGTATTCGGGGACCTTGATTTTTCTTTTGTATATGTTGAGGCCTACTGATTCAGAGACTGCTCCTACACTAGTTAACTTCATCCGCAATTGTTCGTGTGTATGAGATAGAAGGGCTATTTTGTATGCAGAGTTCAATTCTTCTAATTGATTACGAGCTGTCTATTGTATTCTGTGCTTTGCCTCAAATGTCAGGGTTTTCATAATCCAGTCGACCACTAGAAGAAAATGAAGGAATGAACATAAGCTGCTTTGTCTGACTCCAGTCCTTATAATGGGCAAAATGCATGATCAATATCATACTGATGCTATTCTCACTATATTCTACCTTACTACTGCTCATAAATTTACACTTAATGATATTCTACAAGACGTTCCTTACAATGAGACCTATCTATTGCATTCCGTGTTTCCCCTCAGATGTCGCAGTCTCCATAATCCTGTCGATCACCAAAACAAAGAGGAGCGAGGAGACTAAGCAGACAAAATTCCTTAGATGTATTCAGTAAACCAGCCTTATGGACTGCAAGTTGACAAAACACAAACACTGAACATGTTGATATTCAGTAATCAACAACATTTGCATTATAACCAGATGTGACGATTAATTCGTATACTGAAAGTTTCTATCAATCTGATGAACTCCATATACGACAATCTATATGGACCCATCAGAAGTGCAAACAAAAAGCCTACAGTGATTGAAACGTAATCGTCTTGTGAAAGATCAATAATTTGTCAGCACAATAATCCATTACATCTTGACAGACTCAAACAAATTATTGCTTTTGTGAAGATTCATTCTATGAGAAGATGACATTCGCCATAGCGATTAATAGATTATAATTTTCAGTGTTACTTCAAGAAAGGTCAACTCTATAAAAGCTGTAATCATGTACTAATCTCTTACCTGGGCCTAAAGCTGTAATGTGTGCTTAAAATATTTTCGTGGTATAGCACTCATCTTCCTTGGCATTCGATGGTCGTTGTTTAATTAACTCCCCATCGTTATACTTGAAAATTCACAAGCAAATCCCTGGTTAAGTGAAAAGTGTGCACTCCTATAGTGACTTATATTCGAAAAAACGTTTAAGCTCAGTCTCGTAATTTCGTGAAATGTCAAGTTTGGTGAAGTTTTCATTTCCAGAAATTCATATTTTCTAACTGAAATGAGTTACTATGTCAAACATGAAATGCTGTCGAACAAATGATTCTGATGTCAAAAAATATCAAACGAAATTTATACATTGAAATTTATATAAGCAATGCAAAGTGAAGCTTAATTTTACTTTTTAAGATGTTCATTCGACAGCCACATGTAGATTTTCAAAGTAACAAAAGCAGTTATAGATAATTGAATCTTTGTTGTGTGACATGCTGACATGTTTTTGCAAACGATGTGAATGACACGCTATAATTATGCAAAACAAGGAAGACCTTAAAGTTATCTAATCTTTTATTCATTAAATAAAATTATCCGATCTGTTTGATGATATTCTACAAATATGTGATAACTAGACCATACGATTTATTCCAAAACAACGTGGTTTAATGTACTCAGAAGATACCAATCTTTTTGAGTAAATCAACACGCTTCAGTGTTTCATTCCGATCATTAACATGAGGATATGGTATACAACGAGGTACATTCACATTTAAAAACTTACACAAGGGCACCCAACCATCTCCAAGTTTATGTATTAGAAGACGATTAGATGGTACACTCTCAACTACCAGTTCATTATATTTGTCGAAGCATTCTAATAGTACCGTATCATCATCAAAGTCAATTCCCTCTTTTCTAAATGCAAACGTCAGTGAATCAAATGCCATTTTAACGAATTCTGCATCAAGTCCCAGTATATGCTTGACTTTATCCACCACAAGTGTGTGTGAATGATTGGTTTTCGGTAATATTGTTTGTCGTAAACTGGACAGCCAGTCGTTTTTGTCACGAATTGTCAATATAACCTGAAACATTGGACAACAAACAAGTGAGATGATTATTTATCTGTGTGATATCCAGCAATAAGGTAGGGGGTTCAAAACAAGTAGCGGTTTTAGCGGCAGCAAAGTCCGACTTAAGGCTTTTCCACAACGCTACTATGTGGTACGAGCAAACTTTCTAGCCAAATTCAGCGGTCGATGGTGATCGGACGTAACACTCAGCTGTAAGCCGGACTTACTCGGTCATGTTCTTCGAGACTCTTTAAAATCTTGCGGGCCGATTAATTTGTATGCTTATGTAGATGAATTGCGTGTGTCGTTTTGCGTGGTTTATGTACGTGAGTGGGTAAACACAAGAAACGTAAGCTGAAAACGTGTTTGCCTTATGTCTAATTAACTCGTTGATCCAATTCTTCAGGTTGAGATCACTGAATAATAACAACTGACAGGTTCACTAATAATTGAAGTAAGTTTGAGTGATGCTGTCTTGATAAACAATTAGGATGAATACACACAAACATTATGCTCAAGAATATCACAAGTATTCACCTGGAATGAGAATCTTTACCGTCGTTCCAACAAACAGTGTCAAAATTTTGTGACAGCTGGGTTAGCAACAAACTACATAATCACAACAACGTCAAGTTTCAAACTTAAGAATGCAAATTTGTTCATAATTCTGAAATCTACTATGATTAATAAATCAATACATCCATCGGAAACCTAAGTAAAGTATGTATACAATTGCGAAGTAAAATACATATTAAATGCAAATGACTAGACAACATACTGGGACGAATTACAGCTATAGTGATAAATAATGTACTTCAATGATTAGACATTGAATTCTTAAATGCCTCCTACTTTAATGAAGTTACAACCATTCAGAAAGGAACAGTTGACTCGAGGAAAGAAATGAAGAAGAAGATTCACTTTTAAGATTTTAGTAATTATGAAATTTGAGAGTATTTGTGAAACAATGTATGTTCCCGAAAATGTCTCAAAAACCTATTGACATCGACATGGAATTGTATAACTTTTCAGTTGACATCAAGAAGACGAAATCGATTCCTCGGAAGCTATTACAAAGTGAATAACAATGAAAATATTATTACTCATTCTGTTCAAGCCCTGAGCAGCACTTTTCTTGATGTCTTTAGGTAGGAAAATTTCGTAAGCAAAGTATTGTATCCATCCATTTGATTCAATACAAATATCCATGCGTCTAGCTCACAAAGACATTTAAATAGTTTTATTATTTACATTGTGTTACAGCAAACAACTCATACTTATCAGGAAATTTCAAAAGTAACACTGATTTTACCTTCGAGTAAGGATATACATTCATCAGTTCTCTATAAAATCCACATGCCGGAATATCTGTCACTGACGCGTAACCATTCAATATTTCACCCAAACCTTCATGTATCACTGTTTCATCTGGCTTCGTCTTCTTAGTTTCATTGAGCAATTTCTGCCATCTATCAATATCACAATGGTTTTTTGTCACCGTTTCAATTATATGATAACATGGTTGAGGGAGAAGTATTTCCAATGCAGTTTTTAAACTGCTTGTTCCTGTTCTCGGAAGACCAGCTCCAATAACGTTGATTGTTGTTGACGGTTCTGACATAAATTCAATTAATAAAAAGAATTTGTGGATTGAATATTTAGCTTTCATACATTTATATCATTTCTGATGAAATGATTCGATCATTGATTACAGTACTAGTTCATGTATGTCATTATAAGATGAATGAGAGTAATTTGTCTTGATAAACATACATATTGTATACTAAAGTATTTATTCTATATACAAGCCACATTTGTGATTACATACAATTAATTGTATTTCAGATTTATTCTAATTCGATAAGGTATGAATCAGCTGTTTTTGTACTGAGTTTTCGACCTGAAATCTAACTTACATCAATAGTATAGATGTAGGTTATCAGTGTGACTTATAAATCAATTTCGATTATAATAATAACTTGAATACATACATCAATCAGAGTGATTAAAGCTGGTCTTCCAATAACTGGAACAGAAAGTAATACTTTACACTCAATCGTGCTTTCACATGACTGAAGTTGCTTTGAGTAAACATTATGATATTGAAAAATGTCAGAAACTGTTACACAAATCTCGAAAGGTAACGCCGGATTAAACGATGATGCATAGATGTTTGAATTAGATACTGGATAGTTACGTATCTGTGACAGACAGGCAGTCATGCGTTTTCTATTTTTTCGTCATGCTAATGTGAGCTATAAAATTGGTCGTCAAATTTGTGGCAAACGAACACTGATGAATGGTCATTTACGATTGTAATATACACGTTGTTCAGCTAAGAATTTCCATCAATAGGACTCATTGTCTGAATTTTCTTGAAGTGTACTCGTACTTCATTAAATTTGTTTTAGCAAACGAGAGATAATACATTAACATTTGGTTTCGCATGCGATTAGTCCAGGCTGAGTTGCCTTACTTTCTTGTTGATCCTCTCCTCTCTCTTTATCTTCAAGACGGTATATTTAGAATTAGAGCAAAAATCTGTTGGCGCGTCATTTTATTCTGGATTGTTTTGTTAATTCCATTAAGTGATTAACAAACTATTGTATTTCATTATGTGTAATACGAACAACAAGTGCTTTACATCGAATTTAAAAACCGGAATATCTGACTCATGTTATTTCCAGATGATTGTGATTCACTGGAATGAGCAGATTATATTGTTACTCGGATTATCCACTCTATTCACATACGTGTTTACGCTTATCACATTGATGACAATGGATAGTTCACTGTTCAGTTGATACATGGTGAATTATTTTGCATAAACGTATCCAAGACTGATTATCACTTGAAATTTTGTATTCCCAATTATATACCAAGTACTATTAAACATAATAGAGTTTCTCAGTCTACAGAACACAAAAGTGTCACATATGCTTTATCAAAATAATCAATGTCATTTCATTTCGTTTGAATGACTACAATGTATCTGTATTATGAGTCAGCCTAAATGATTGAAGGATTACTGTTAACGAGGTTTAATCACGTTTCAGAATCTCATATGATCAAATACAATCACAGTAAATCGTTTGTGAATTTGAAATAGTCTAGTGAAATAATTCTAATTCCAATGAGTCTACAACTTCAACAAGACGTAAACAAGTACTCGAATTTGAAATATGCAGTATGAGATTGTAATTTGAATAGGATATAAACACAAAATGAAATGCTTTGTTGTACAGTAAATGTACTAGTTATTCACCACATCATTGTAATCATCGAGCTTATTTGAGAATACAGTGAATTCGGTCAGATTTAATTCATGACCCAAGAAACGTTTCGTGAAAATCGGATGACGGACAGTATAATCTTTACTAAATTATGAATTACTTATCTGAGCTTAACAGAATGATCCTTGACAAACTGAATTTCAAATGTAGTTTGAAGTGGTTCGTTGAATTCTTCAGCGGCTTTAAGCCAGTTTCCCATTACTTTCTCATAGATATTAGTCTGATTGTCTTTTAAATGACCATGACAGTAAAGTCTTAAAACTCACGTTTCTTAAATGATGTTTTGCATACTGAATTATTAGTAAGAATTTTCACTTAGAATTCATTTGTCTCATTTGATCGTCGGGTTTTATATTATTTACTTAATTCATTGTGACTGGTACAGCCTTTATTGTATGAACTATTCACCTAGAACACGTAGTTGCTCATTTTCCTACTGTGGATTCCTGTGGGTTTCGCCCATTTGCGCACTACTCTGAACACAAAATAACACTTACTACTTAAAAGTCGTTTTTTGGTTAGTTTGTTTGTTTATTACCTTATTCAGGTTTAATTGGCTTTACGTGATATAAATCAGATGATCCATATAAGAGAGAATTGGACAAATTAAGATTGCGGATAGGGCTACATCCGGAATCGGACAATCTCATTATCAGTTGGTGTTTACATTTCCAGAGGATGATGATGATGACGCAATGTTTCACCCAAATTTCGAAGAATATTTAAGAACTGTACTGGAAATCTTGCCATATGAATGCCTTCTGGTACATATTCTTAAAGATGCTTGCGGACCGTTATGTGGATCCTTGAATTTGGATATACCACATGGCATAGCCTACCCTCATATAAATAACCGCTACCAGAAGAAACAACTTATGGAAACGATTATCAGAAATGAATCGACTGAGCAATTGAAGCAGTTGAACAAATGTTTCCAGAACTTATAAATTGTTTTATACAAAGATTGTATTATAAAGGGGAGAAATGTCAACGAAACACTAATTTATGGACGAGCCAATCAGGAGCGTGTGAGAGGTTTCAAGGTTACGGCGCCAACTTCAGTGCTTAATACTAACGTTTACAAGTAAATTTTACACAAAACGTGATAATTGAGCGGCAATAATAAATAAAATGGCGAGACTATAATTTATGGACGAATTGTAGTGACCTACTTTTGTCAACAGAACGCGATTAGTTCAATGAAAACAATTATTATTATAACCAATTGTACCAGTGACTGTTTTACTGTGCTCGTTTGTTTAACTATGCTAATGACAGCTATTACACTTACTCTCCCGTTGACTTTGAACTTGTACGAATTCGGTTACGCCTAGTAACCACGCTTGTAGTCCTTTGGCACGATCTCGGTATTCTTTCGATACCACGAGATCGCCAACAAATACATCTCGACTACAGCCATCATCTGTCTTCTGATATTGGTCTACGGAGATCTTATTGTTTAACTGGCACGTAGTCTTGTAGCGGTGTTCATAGTCAAGCTCAACGCGACACCACGCTACAGAATCAATCAGGTATAAGATAATAAATCTCGGATTTTGGTGCGAAAGTCTTTCATCCATTTGGTTAAATAGATTTCCTGCATTATAGCTGATGTCAGTTCGTGATGAAAACCCCATATATAATTCCTAAATAAGGCAAATTATGAAAATTATCGTGAACTGGCTAATAAAATCATCAGTAACACTGGCTGCAGCCAAGTACTACAATATATATGGATGATTGGAAAGCGTACAGACTTCTACATAGACTTGGTCATGTGCATCGCATCGTTACCCACAAGTGTCAGTTTTGTGACTAACAACCGGAGTACACTCAAACAATATTGAAGCTATGTGATGGAGGTTGAAAGAGTTTTTGAGACCTCATCATGGCTTCAGAAGCCGACTATTCTGTCGCCGTATGGATGAGTTCCTCTACTACATGTATTACGATTTTAGGACTTCAGAAACTTTCTAAACTTGATAAGTTTTTGAAACATGTATAAGAAGTTTATCCACTTTATTTCTTTGGTTTTGTATAATTTGTTTTTACTCTATACTAACTGTTTGCTGATTCGCTAATATTTCTCAAGTTCACTTAAGATTAATTCAAAGGTCGTCCATAGATTAGAGTCTCGCCGAAATGACATTTAGCTAGATAGTAAAATACTGTTAAGCTTCGACTTCAAACTTGTTGTGAACAGTTATAATATTTTTGGTTAAATATATGGTTAGTGTCGTTAAATGCAATTTCCAGCAATTTCAGAGATTACAAATCAAATTGCTTAATATGAAAGTTTTGGTGAGAAACCTAATTATTTGATATCAGTTATACACGTTTATTTGACTGTTATAAATAATTACTGTTGTTCTATTAGTTATCATATGATTTATCCACCAATCAAAATACGATTTATTCAATCTTAGCGCTGTGCTAAACCAATGACGTTCAACCGGTATGAGTAGCCTAGAATCGTTATTGGTTCTATATCCGCCTAGTCCATCCACTTGAGTCCAGAACACCAATACCAACTCTCACTATTCGAATCACATATTTCAAATATTCTGGGTTTATATATTAAACAAACAGACCTCAACGCACCATAAAATAGGAAATAACATTTGTACACAATAAAGCCAAAAAGTGGCTGTGAATGTGGGAGGCAATAGTTAATAAACTGAACATAGCTTAAGAACAGTAAATCGTACAATAATAATATATCAGTCTAAATAAAGCTTGTAATAAGGGGAATATAGATATACATAATGTACTTACTGAATAGTTATACAGTAGAAATATATAGATAATATTAGTTCATTAATAGGTCTCAGAAGTTACTCGTAATGTAATCTTCACTAGGATATAACAACTTCGAGTCCGTTGGCCAGACATTATCATCAATAATCTACTGTGAGAGAGAACAAACCAGATCCCAGTGGAGGAAGAAATCAGGAAGAAGCGCTGGAAGTGGATAAAACACACGTTGAGGAAAGCACCGAACTGCGTTACAAGACAAGCCCTCACATGGAATCCTTAAGGCCAAAAGAAAAGGGGAAAACCAAAGAACACATTACGCCGAAAAATGGAGATAAACATAGGAAAAATGAACAAGAAATGGATGGAACTAGAAAATAAGGCCCAGGACAGACTGGGTTGGAAAATGCTGGTCGGTGACTGCCTATGCTCCTAAGGAATAACAGGCGTAAGTAAGTTCACGATGTATTTGATTGTACTTTTTTGTAAGTTTGACAGAGAAAAGTCGTAAACTATTCATAAACGCGCCTGATGTATTTAAACAAACAAAAGTAAAGTAACTTGAAATATTTCGATGACCGAAACAAGTAGTCTCAATCTTAGATGAGATTAAACACAAGCTAAATAGATAATTGGTAGCGGATTGAGTAAATTATTATCAGAAAGAGGGTTTTGTGGATATTAAAGTAATTTCAATAGTTGAATTAACGAATCAATTGAAGCTAGACCACAATGGAAAACCTGAAAGCATTGGATAATCGTTTCTTCCTGGTATGGGACTCCTTGGCAGTGCATATCCATGATCCTGCACCGTGGGATTCGAACCCAGAACCTATTGATCTCGCGCGCGAACGCTTAGCCTTCGAACCACTGAGTCGGCCAGCATCCAACAATGTTAATATCTAACTTCAACCAATCCATCAAATTTAACCACCTCCGACCATTGTCATTAGTGTGTTACTATTTCACAACAGATCTGGTTGAATTCCATTGATCACTGTTTCTTACTAGAACTCCAGGAAATACCTCTTGAAGCTAGTCACTAGTGATCACATGATGATTATTATCAGAAGGAATTTTTGTGAATATTATATTAATTTTAATAGTTGAGATCATGAGTCGATTAAAGCAAGATCACCATGAATAACGTGAAATCACTGGACGGCTTTTTTATTCTGGTTTGGGACTCCTCAGCAGTACGATTCCACAATACCTCCTCGCGAAATTCAAACCCATGACCTATTGATCTCACGCGCAAACGTTTAACCTTGAGATCGCTAAACCGGCATCATACTATGTTAATGTCTAGCTTCAATCAATCTAGGAAAGTAAATTATAAAACAAAATCTAACACTTACTTCAACCTATCATCTATTCAATTAGTATTGTTTTAATTATATCTTCCCATTGTTATTTATTATTTCAATTAATCAATCTCTTATTAGCATATATGCATCCAGTGTGAATTGTTTTGATATAGCCTTAAATCACAAGTTGTACAGGTATACATCCAGCTGACGAGTCCCAAATAGAATGAAACTCGAGTCCTTGATTCTATTGCTAGCCACCATCTATATTTGCTTATCATCCATTCCATTACATTATACTTTTCAATATTATATCAATTAAATGAATCTATTATGATAAATCCCTGTCAACTATTTCTTTTCTATAAAATTAAAAGAGAAAAAAATGAGAAAGGAACACGGTTACAATTATTTTTTTGTTGTTGTTGTTGTCAAGTTACCTATTTGCACTTGTCAACTAAATTCCTTATTTATACAGTTTGATTAAGATATAGAATAATCAATATCAGATTGTACTTTATCAATCATTGTATCTATTGTTTAGAATGATAATGATAATTTGTACTTATAATTTAAACAAACTATAAATAAGAATGAAAAATTATTACTTAAATTAGTAGTAAATAATTAATCATGGAGTGAATATCAACTCTGCAAGGATGCAAATGTGCCCAACTGACGAATACCAAATAGGACGAAACGCGGGTTTTGGATTCCATTGCTATCTACTATCGATGAAATTTTTTAAAATGCTTAATTTTCATTCCGCTAATTAATTTATATTATGATTAGAATGGGGTTTGTGGACATAGTAGTAGTCTGTTTTATTTTGTTTAATAGTTGAATTCATAAATCGATGTAAGTTAGATCACTGTTGAAAATTTGGAAGCACTAGATGACCGTTACGTCCTAATATGAGGTTCTTTAGAAATTAAACATTAACATCATTAAATGTCAGCTCATCGGTCCAGAGGTTAAGTGTTCGCATGTAAGATCGAAGATCCTCGGTTCAAATCTGGCTTACCGGGGTCGTAGATACGAACTGTTGAGGAGTCCCATCCAGTGCTTTCAGGATTTCAACGGTAGTCTAGATTACATCGACTTTTGAATTCAACTATTATAATTCATATTAAGCATGAATTCATATCTTTTTTATTATATGATGACTACTGAATCATTGATAAATAACAGTTTTATATTCTCCATTGTTGAATAGTTATCCATCATTCAAACTGTAAGCAATCTTTAGTTGATTGTGTTTATTAATTATTACTACTATTATAATAGTTGAATTCGCTAGACGATCTAACCTAGACCAACAGTGAAAATCTGAAAGCACTGAACGATCGTTTCTTCCGAGTATAGGACTCTTCAACAACGTGTATCCATGATCCTGGATGTTGAACTCAAACTTAGGACTTTCAGTCTTGTTCGCAAACAGATTACCTCTAGACCATTGAAACGGTATTCAATCATGTTAATATTTCAGTAGTCTCTTTGAAACTTTTGTTTATATACCTTATATTATTACCTTACTTTATAAGATTTTATAAAGAACAGTTTTTGTCGATTTACAATATCTTATTAGAAATATCATATCTAACTTAAATGTTTATATAATCAGGCAATAAATCTATTTTTTGATTGAGATCGTGAACCGATTGATGTTAGACTACCATAGAAAACCTAGAAGCACTGGACGGCCTTAATGTCCTACTGTGGGATTCCTCAACAGTACGCATCTATAATCCGATTCGCAAGATTCAAACCCAGAACCCTAACACTACATTGATAATTACTATATGTTTATTAGTGACTAGCTTCGTGGGAGAATTCTCGGAGTTCTAATAAGAAGTTGTGACCAGTTGAGCTCATCTTTATCAGCTAAAAACATGTATCTACCTTAGTACAATGGAAGATGGTCGTGCAATTACGTTAATACCATTGGATATCGGTCATCGTAGTGATTTGGAGGTTAAGTGTTCTCACGCGAAACCGATAAGATCGGAGTTCGAATCCCACTAATAAGATCATGAATTCGTATTATTGAAGAGGTCTCCTACAATAAGACAAAACTTCCATACAGTATCTCCAGGTGTTCAATGTTAGTCTACCATCAATCGTTCCATGATTTCAATCAAAAAACTTAACATACCGCACAACTCTATACTGATAATAAATTTCTTTTTTATACATATAATCTACTTTACATTAATCATTCATAATGATTCTGATCATTGAACTATTGAACTAAAATATGATTCATCTAATAAGTATATAAATAGTATTTTATCATTTCATTTAATTATATACATCTATTATATTTTGTTTAGTATTATATATAAATATATATGTCAAAATCATCAAATGACTTATTAGTTATTGGAGCTGGTCTACCAAGAACTGGAACCAAAAGTTTAAAGAATGCTTTAGAAATTCTTTATCATAAACCATGTTATCATATGACTGAAATTATAACAAAACAACATAATGATATTGAGAAATGGCAACAATTATTTGATGAAGCATTAAAGAATAAACCAAATGAAATAATAATTAATCAAGGTTTAAAAGATATATTAAATGATTATGGAACAGTAACTGATGCACCAGCATGTGGATTCTATCAAGAGTTAATGAAGATCTATCCAAATGCTAAGGTAAGAATAAATAACAATGTGTATTATTTAGATAATTGTTAATGTGTTTTTTGTGATGAAGTTTTATTCTATGATCTAGATGGTTTAGTCATTGAAGGTTTCATTGTTCTTTTGAACAATGACATTATCAGTACAAATGTTAGGTAGAAGAGATTTTGTTGAATTTATGAGTTTGTTATGTGGTAGTAACTTAATGAAGATAATGATTGAAGTTATATATTAACACCGTTAGATGCTAGCTCAGTGGTCTAGACGTTAAGTGTTCGCTCATGAGATTGAAGGTTCTGAGTTTGTGGATGCGCACTATTGAGGAGTCCGATACTAGAATGAAAAATTCGTTCAGTGATTTCACGTTATTCATGGTGGTCTAGCTTCAATCGACTCATGATCTCAACTATTAAAATTAATATAATATTCACAAAAATTCCTTCTGATAATAATCATCATGTGATCACTAGTAACTAGCTTCAAGAGGTATTTCCTGGAATTCTAGTAAGAAACAGTGATCAATGGAGTTCAACCAGATCTGTTGTGAAATAGTAACTCACAAAAGATAATGGTTGAAGGTGGTTCAATTTGATGGATTGATTGAAGGTAGACATAAACACTGTTTGATGCTAGCTCAGTGATATAAATGTTAAGTGTTCGCGTACAAGACCAATGGGTCCTAGATTCGAACTGTAAAAGCGGGATCGTGAGGGAGGATTCCCATACTGAGACTGAACAGCCATTCAGGTCTTCCAGATTTTTCATGGTAGTCTAGTTTTAATCGATTCATGAATTCAACTTTTACTTGTCTTCAATAACTTCTTAGAACTTTCAAAATCGATACATGACAAATGATTAATAAGCTTAAGATTTTTGTATTAGATATAAATAAGAACTACTGAATAGTCCTATACTTGAACAAAGGAACTTTTCAGCCTAAATAGCTATTCTGTCCATACAGTTTAAAAATTACATCCTTTTGTATTAAACCAATCAAAGTAACAAATGGTTTACAATTGAATTGTTTAACATTTTTTGGAGACGAAATTGATTATCCTTTTGTTCTTACTTAAAACCATAGTTGTCCAGTTCTTCATTCCCATATTTAGATTCTAACTGGATCACCTTGATATAATGTTTACATATTTACTTACATACACCTGTTAACCCTCATGGAGTAACATAGACTGCTCCACAGAAATCTCTATCCAACTCTGTCTTTGACAATCCTTTCCAGTTGTTTTCAGTTGATATTCATCATTTATATGTCTCATTCCGATTCTCAACTCAGTGTACTCTTTGACCTTTTTTTATTTGCATTCAGGTATATAGGAATTCAGAAAGTGAGTTTCGTCTTATTTAAGATTCATCAGCTGGATATACCAGCCTCCTGATCCTGTTGGTCACATTGAGATTTAAATAAATTTCCCATTTTTTTAAACTACAACACATTATTCACCTAGGTAGTGAGTTCAGATAACCACTGATTGTAAACCCTTTCAAGTATCTTCATATATATTGAATACGTTTATAGCCCCCTGAACTCAACAACTCAGTGAATAATGTGTTATCATTTAAAATGATATGCCATAGATTCTATTTTCACTGTTATCAGCAATACTAAGATGTAGGTACAGACACCTAAGAAGCCCACACTAGAACAAAACGCACATCTTGAATCTGACTACTGGACAAATATCAAATAAGAAAGAACATACATATCATCGTTTCTCTTTAGTCAACTTATTCATGGAACACAACATTTTGATTGGGTCTTCATATTCTTAGTTGAAATACAAATTGCATATACTCACAAATATTAAAGGCCTTAATATAACTAGAACATATGATAACTATGATCTGTTTGTCTATTTAGGAATATGTGACCCGTCTCACCTTATCTACTTTATCAATAATAAGGAAGGTTTCATTAATGTGAAATGATGATCACCTACTCACTTACTTACTTATGCCTGTTACTCCGTGCGGAGGAGCATAGGTCGCCCACCAGCAATCGCCATCCAACACTGTCCTGGACCATCCTTTCCAGCTCTTTCCAATTATTATTCATGCTTTTCATATCCGATTCCATTTCCCGACGTAATGTGTTTTTTCGCCTTTAACTTTTCCACTTCCCTTCAGGATTCTAAGTTAGGACTTGCCTCATGATGTAGTTTGGTGATATCCTTAATGTATGTCTAATCCATTACCATCGTCTTTTCCGAATTTCCTCTTCAGCTGGAAGCTGATTTGTTCTCTCCCACAGAAGGCTATTGCTGAAGTTATCCAACCAATGGATGTTGAGAATCGTGCATAGACAACTATTTATAAATACTTATACTTTAATGATCACAATACTATATCATTCATTATCTATAGTTGAAAAATGCACACAACTAAATACTAACAAAGATTTGAAAGAAAAATCATCGTCGGAGGTACTAAAGGTCATGGATATGATCCTTTATTGCATCTTCAGCAATCATACTGCTGAAAAGTAACAAACAAAAGTGGAAAGAATATAATCCATTATATGTAGTTCGAATATTCTATAATATAAAAATAATCTATTGTTGATCTAAGTGACAACGTCCATATCAATTCATGAGAGAATCTATACTTTTTCTTGAATGGTCAACAGTGCACATGGATTGTTTCCGATAAAAATTACAACTAGTATTTAGTTGGTTAGAGTTATTTTTATCAAGATTGTTTTGTTTGGAAAGGGATTGGTCATCTCATGCCTAATCCTCCCCCTTTACTCAAGTTTTTGTGCTAATAAGGTTTGACAACTTGAAGTGATGTATATATGTGCCTGGTTCTATTGACTGACTGACTCAGGCTTGAGACAGACAATAACCCTGAAACAGCTGAAGAAGGATTACTCAAAACATAGTTTGATGAAGAATACTGATCAGTAACCTATGCTTTTCCACGAGGGGTAACTGGTGTAAGTAAGCAATTAATATAATGTACATTCAATAATCCTTGATGTATATAGTATAACGTTAGTGAAAAAGATAATAACAGACTGTTTACATTCATTTACAAATCGGTTGAATTTAGTCATACAAAGTATAAGACATGCATCACACAAGACTCATTTTAGAACTACATCCAAAGTATGGAAGGTACTTCTGTGATAACCTTTATACATGTCAATTAGAATGAATGAGAGATTAATAGATTAGATCATTCCTTAAGTATCTACATTATTAATCTTCAAATGAACTTATCATTTATAATAATCATACTAGTTTATTCCGAATAACATGAATGATGTCAAAATGTGATCAATAAAACAGTATAACTAACACAATAATCTGCCTAATTTGAAACTATTGACTCAGTGATCGAGAGGTTAAACGTTCGCACGCGAGACTGAAGGCCTTGGGTTCAAATCTTGTGAACGGGATCGTGAATATGCACTTCTTAGAAGTCCTATAATAGAACGAAAATGTTATTCACTGCTTCTTAGTTTTCATCGATGGTCTCACATTAATCGGTTCGTAATCTTAATCAAAAACTGAATAACTTCATTTGTTTATTATCTTATTTAGGTTATATTAACAATACGTGATAAAAATGATTGGTTGTCAAGTTTTCGACAAACTTTAATGCCAAAATCAAATGATCCATCTAATAGAACAATAGATGAAGCTGATCAAATATCTAAACTTGGTCCAAAATTCATTAAAATGGCTATTGATTCAATGAAATTAGCATTTCGTAAAATTGATTTTGATATAGATAATGATGAAGAAATGCTTATATGTTATGATGAATATAATAGAATTGTTAAAGAAACTGTACAACCTGAACGTCTTTTAATACATAATCTTGGTGATGGTTGGGAACCTTTATGTAGATTTTTAAATGTTGATATACCGGAAGGTATATCATATCCTCATATAAATGTTCGTAAATAGATGAGACATTCCTGACATCATAGATCTTTCTATGTTATCATGGTATTTCAACATTAAAGCTATGAAAGTATTACGAAACCTTGTATTCCTTAATATTCTGTCACTTTTTTGGCCTGTACACTTCATAATTAACATATTCGAATAATTTTTACTGAAAGCGGCATACTATTGCTATTTGTATTGTTTTATAGCTAATATATACTAATAACAGGCTTTTGAAAGTTTTTTTATGTTTTCATTTCTCTTATTGTTAAAAACCTTATCTTGTTAAAACTGTGGGGCCCATTATTTTATCGTCATTTAGATCAGACAATGTTTGTTGACGAACTCTCTACTTTAATGGCCCGAGATCTGGCTTCAATTTGATCGTATGAATGATCGTTGTCGAAATATTTGTGTCACTTATCCACATATAAAATCATCGAATAAGTCGCATCAGTCAATAACGAAATTATATAAGTCAAATAACGAAAATGGACTTTTGAATTCATATATTTTGTATATGAAGCAAATGGAATAGAGTGGAGCAAAACGACGCACAGTGGAGATGGCGGGTAAGCCAACTCCATTTCGTCGAGCGTAAATCAATATTCATAGTTACACTAAAATAAGTTACAGACATGTGATGAGTAATAGGATAAAAAATGTACACACACTAATGCGCTCATATAAAAACAGTAAAGATTGATAAGCGAATAATTAACAAGGTCAGAATGGGACTCAAGTAGAATGAACAGATTAAGCTGTCTGAAAGCTAGAATAAGGTATATGGTTTCAACATAATACCGACGCTACAGAATGTATTTACTTACTTAAGCCTGTTACTTCACGTCGAGGAGCATAAGTCGCCCATCAGCACTTGCCAACTACAATAAATCCCGTTAGGACAATAAGTTGATTTCATCCATATCATTGATATTCGGTTGACAATCTTTCATTGACGACGACATAAACCTCTCAAAAATTTATTTAGAAACCTAAAATACTGTTTATCATCGAGAATCTACAATGAAATCAAATATCTTACAATCATGCTAATAAACCATATTAACAAATAGCATATTTTGTACCCGTAAAGTTATCAACCGTGAATAAATTATGGAATAAGTAAAATTCGCCGATAAAAAGTGGATCTTTAAAGTCTGCAACGAATTCCCTCTAGGAATAATATAAAACTCAATGTGGCCAGTGACACATCTTAAGGATAAACGGTTGATAAATAACTTACTTACTTACGACTGTTACTCCTCGTGAAGGAGCATAGGCCGCTCACCAGCATTCTCCATCCAACCCTGTCCTGGGCAATCCTTTCAAGCTCTTTCCAGTTCTTATTCATCCTTTTCATATTTGCTTCCATTTCCCAACGTAATGTGTTCTTTGGCCTTCCTCTTTTCCGCTTCCCTTCAGGATTCCAAGTTAGCGCTTGTCTCGTAATGCAGTTTGATGATTTTCTCAATGTATGTCCCATCCATTTCCATCGTCTTTTCCAAACTTCCTCCTCAGCTGGAAGCTGATTTGTTCTCTCCCACAGAAGGCTGTTGATGATGGTATCCGGCCAATGGATGTTGAGTATCTTGTGTAGACAGCTATTGATAAATACCTGTACCTTTTTGATGATGGTTGTTGTAGTTCTCCAAGTTTCAGCTCCGTACAGTAGAACTGCCTTGACGTTCGTATTGAAGATTCTGACTTTGATATTGGTTGAAAGTTGTTTTGAGTTCCATATGTTCTTCAGTTGAAGGGATGCCGCTCTAGCTTTGACAATCCTTGCCTTGACGTCTGCATCTGAACCTCTTTTTTTATCGACGATGCTTCTCAGGTATGTGAAGGATTCTACATCTTCCAGAGTTTCGCCATCAAGAGTGATTGGATTGCTGTTCTCCGTGTTGTGTTTGAGAACCTTGGTTTTCCCTTTGTGTATGTTGAGGACTACTGATGCAGAGACTGCTGCTACTCTGGCTGTCTTTATCTGCATTTGTTCGTGTGTATGTGATTGGAGGGCTAGGTCATCTGCGAAGTCCAAGTCTTCTAATTGGTTCTGAGCTGTCCATCGTATGCCGTGGTTTCCCTCAGATGTCGAGGTCTTCATAATCCAGTCAACCACCAGGAGAAACAGGAAGGGAGAGAGTAGACAGCCCTGTCTTACTCCGGTCCTTACTTGGAATGCCTCAGTCAGCTGTCCTCCATGCACTACTTTGCACTGTAGTCCATCGTATGAGTTCCGGATAATGTTGAAAATCTTCTCAGGAACTCCGTAGTGTCGAAGAAGTTTCCATAACGTCCTTCTATCTACACTGTCAAATGCCTTCTCATAATCAATGAAGTTGATGTAGAGTGACGAGTTCCACTCAATTGATTGTTCGACGATGATCCGTAGTGTCGCAATCTGGTCTGTGCACGACCGGTCCTTACGGAATCCAGCTTTTTGATCTCGAAGTTGAGCGTCTACTGCGTCTTTCATCCTGTTCAGTAACACTCTGTTGAAGACTTTACCTGGTATTGACAGTAGTGTAATGCCTCTGTAGTTTTCACACTTGCTCAGATCTCCTTTCTTTGGAATCTTGATGAGGTGTCCTTCTTTCCAATCCATCGGCACTTGTTCCTCCTCCCAAATCTTCATGAATAGAAGATGAAGCATGCTTGTATTTACTTTGATGTCTGACTTCAACGCTTTAGCTGGTATATTGTCAGGTCCCGCTGCTTTCCCGCTCTTGATTTGTCTGATGGCCATTCTGATTTCTTCGGTCGTTGGTGGATTGACATCTATAGGAAGATCTGTGTGTGCTGCTTCGATGTCCGGTGGATTCATTGGAGCCGGCCTGTTCAGGAGTTCCTCGAAGTACTCTGCCCATCTGTTGCGCTGTTGTTGAATCTCAGTGATTGGTCTTCCTTCTTTGTCTTTGACTGGTCTCTCTGGTTTACTGTATTTCCCTGCAAGCTTCTTCGTCGTATCGTAAGGCTGTCTCATATTTCCTTCTCTTGCAGCTTTTTCCGCCGTCGTTGCTAGTTCTTCCACGTATTTTTGCTTATCAGCTCTAATGCTCTTCTTCACTTTCTTGTTTGCTTCTATGTACTCTGCTTGTGCTTGGACTTTCTCTGCTCTTGTTCGACTGTTGTTAATTGCTGTCTTCTTGTTCTTTCTTTCTTTGATCCTATCCAGTGTTTCTATAGAGATCCATTCCTTGTGATGATGTTTCTTGGGGCCCAGAACCTCTTGACACGTTGAAGTTAATGTTTCTTTGATGCCTTTCCAGCTGTCCTCCATAGTAGTTTCTTCTTCCTTCAGTAGGTCCTATAAGGCTTGGAACCTATTGTTGAGAGCTACCTTGAATTCATTGAGTTTGTCAGTATCTCGAAGGAAGGCTGTATTGAACCTTTGTAGTGCTGTTTGTCCAGTTGTCCAGTTCTTCTTTAGCTACAGTTTCAATTTGGCCACAACCAGGTGGTGATCTGAAGCTATGTCCGCTCCTCTCCTGGTTTTTACATCTTCCATTGTCCTTCGGAACTTTTTATTGATGCAAATGTGATCTATCTGGTTCTCTGTGGTGTGGTCCGATGAGATCCATGTAGCTTTGTGTATACGCTTGTGTGGAAATATTGTACCACCTATGACCAAATTAATGAATGCACACAGATTTGCAAATCTTTCCCCGTTTTCGTTTCTCTCTCCCAGTCCATGTAGTCCCATGATGTCTTCATATCCGGTGTTGTCCATTCCGACTTTGGCGTTTAGATCTCCTATCAAAATGGTGAGGTCCTTTCTTGGGCACTTCTCTATAATTGATTGCAGTCTCTCATAGAATTGATCTTTAACGTCGTCGTTGCTATCATTGGTGGGTGCATAACATTGGATAATGTTCATTGTGATCCCCTCCTTCTTTGTTTTGAATGATGCTTTGATGATTCTGGATCCGTGAGATTCCCATCCTACAAGTGTATTTTGTGCTACTTTGGACAGCATTAGAGCCACTCCCTGAGTGTGTGGAGCATTTTCCTCTTTGTGACCGGAGTATAGCAGCATCTCTCCCGTATTTAGCCTTTGTTGTCCAGCTTGGGTTCAATGGGTTTTACTGATTCCCAGCACTACCAAAATGTATCTCCTCATTTCCGTTGCTATTTGACTGGTCTTCCCGGTCTCCCACATTGTCCGGACGTTCCATGTACCTATAAAAATTGTTGCTCTGGTTGTTAGAAGGGGCATCGGCCTCATGGCTTCCGAATGAACTCGGCTTTCACCATGAAGCGTCATATTACCTCTAACTCCCAGGGCAGAGTTTAAATGGTTTGAGTTATTTTTTCTGGTTAGCGTTTTTTAGCGAGTTAGTTTTCTACGGGATGGGGACGCTAACCTCATGCCCAACCCTCCTCCTTTACCCGGGCTTGGGACCGGCAGTAGCCCTCCGAAAGGGACTGCAGGCGGAGTTTGATAAATAAACTACTTATTAATTATGAGGCTTTACTTCTTACATTTATAAGTAATTATAATAAAACAACTATATAACTATTCATATATTCATTTATTTCAACATATACAATGTGGATACAAACAAATTACCATATCACGCTATGATGCTTGCTCATAAATCTGACTATCCAGTCTTATTTTGATGATTTTAAATATATCGATCATTTGTAGTGATCCTGAAATAAAACTGAATCCTCACAATTAATCATTTTTGAAGTTGGGCATGCACTAACTTGAAGAATTTACAGAGCCTATCGAATACTCGATAAATAGTAGTGGAAGTCAGTATAGGTCAACTCGGTAACGTGACAGTAGCTCGTTCATGAATAAGCTGCATGTAATTGGATAATACAGTTTTCTTGATTCATTGAAAGCAGGTATTATTAATTTTGAAAAACAAATCTTGGTCCAACCGACTTCTTTTAGAATGAACTAAAGAAAATAGTTGTAGTCAGGTTATCTTATAAGTTAACAGATAGATATTGAATTTAATCAGCTCGCAACCATAATTCTTAGATTTCGCTTAAGCTTGACG